ATTCTCTACCATAGGTCTCTGGACTGTAGACCTACTAACAAAAAATAGTAAGAACAAACAAGAAATGAACACACTAAGCAGCAATCTGCTGTATTCTAAACCTTGAACTATGGAAAATAAAAAAAATCTTTGGGAACAAATATCACAAAACTGAAAATAGTATTTTGAGCAGTGACTTTGTCATAGCTTCATGTCATAGCTTAAGCTCCTCTCAGGGCCCTAGGAGCCCAGAGGAGCAGTGCTGGTGTGTAAAAGTTAAAAAGAGCTCTACGTGAAGACTTAGGAAACCCTGCACTTTGTCAAAGGTTTAGCTGTTTAATTGAAAATGATGGCACCTGACGAGATTTATTCATTCCCTCGACAAACCCTCAGAGAATGCAAGTTCCTTGAAGGTCGGGCTTTTTGCCTGATCCATTGATTGCACTCTCTCCTAAGTGTTGTGCCTGGTGCATAGTAGTTGCTCAAGAAGTATGTTTTGTGGAATCCTCTGTTGCTGGGCATGGAGCCTCTGTCCTCAAGAAGCTCATAGTCTGGTTGGGACAAAGACTTCCAAATGCTCGATTTTAACAGATGAAAATATTTATCATTATTAATATGTAAGAGCTAATAATAGCTAACATGAGCATTTACCATGTGCCAGACAGTATTCCATGTGCCTTGCCTGCATTAATTCACTCAATCCTCACAACAACCCTCTGACCTGAACACTCTATTTCCCTTTTTATAGGCTTAGGAAGAAAAACAATTTGCCCAAGGTCACACAGCTAGGATGTGGCAGAGGAGGATCTGAACCCAGGGTTTCGAGTTAGCACACTGTAGGCACAAGCCAAAGAGTAAGTCTGACTCAAGGATCACTGGAATTTCAAATGAAGCACTAGGAACATGGGATAAATGTTTCATGAAAGCCCATCCATTTGGGACATGTGGTGCTTCTGAAATTCAGGATGCCCCAGAATCCTCTGAAACCCTGGAGATTCTGAATCAATAAGGTTGGAGTGGGGCCCCAGAATCTGTATTTTTAACAAGTGCTGCAAGTGATGCTGATAATCCTGTGATCATGTTTTTAAAACACTGCACTAGATCTATTCTCTAGCAGAACCCTTCAGCTCAGATTCTGTGGTCTCTTCAGGCCTGGCGCTCCTCTGGCACATGCTGGTTCGGAATCCACTGATTATGCAGTCAATAGTGCTGTGCAGGGCCTCAGCATCTTGGGAGAGTTCCTGTATTATAGGCATCATAATTCTGACAGGACAGTTACTTGTGGTTTGTCTGTCTCCTTTTGAGGGCAGAAGCTGTTTCCTATTCTGCTCTATATGCCCAACTTTCAATTCAGTGCACAGCAAATGTCTTCAGAATGAATTGACAGATAGCAGGAGCCATGCCTGTGCTCCAGACTCACAAGCCCTGCCTTAAGCAGAAGACAGATACTTAGCAGGATTAGGGGATAGGTAGCCACGATTACCTAAGAAGCCCCATATTATGAGCACATGGGGGACCAACAAAGGATGTTGCACGTGAATGTACAGGATGGGAAACCATGCTAGAAAAGTAGACGGGAAGTTGTCATGGGCTGAATCATGTGTGTCCCCATCAAGAGGTCATATGTCACATGTTGAAGTCCTAATCCCCAGTACCTCCAAATGAGACTGCATTTGGATATAGGGTCTTTAAAGGGTAACTAAATTAGGATAGGCCTTAATCCAATATGACTGGTGTCCTTATATGAGGAGATTAAGACACTGACGCAGAAAAAGAGATCACATGTAGATAGTGGAGGATAACTGCCACCTACAAGCCAAGGAAAGAGGTATCAGAAGAAACCGACCTTGCCAACACCTTGAGCTCATACTTCCAGGGTATAGAATTGTGAGAAAAATAAGTTTCTGTTGTTTAAGTCACCCAGTCTGTGCTTTTGCTATGGCAGTGCTAGCAAACAAATACAGGGGCAGATTATGAAAATTTACTAAGCCAACTATGGAAATTAACTTTTATCCTGTAAACTATCAGAAGCCCCCAGAGGTGTCTGAGCATCAACGTGCCATGAGCAGCTTTGATTCTGAAGTATAATTTGGAAACAGTGGAGCCCCTGAAGTGGAGAAACGCAGTAGGATGGACAGATACTTGTTTCGGTGTGGAACCGAACAAGACACAAGGGCCCTGGGCTAAACCATTAACAAGGAGAATGAGAAAACAGAGGCCCTACCAGAGAGACAATGCTGGGGCAGAAGTAACAAGATTGGGGGAAAATGAGGCGTGGAATGAGGAGAGATGCAGATCTCATGAAGTGTAGCTGGGGAGTGAGGACAACAATGCCACAAACCTGAACTGGGGACCCAGGGGGTGAAGCAGGCTTAACAGAGGAGGGGAAAGGTAACTAGTTTGGGGTAGGTTAAGTTTCTGACTATTGCAGAGAATAGACGTGGATGTGCTCCGTGGAGTGAGAAAAAAGCTCTGGACCTTGGGCCTGATAGGAGTCTATGTTACTGGGGGCCCCAGCA